CCGCCATTACGACAATTAAACTACACGTGATTAATGCACGTGACTACGCGTCACAAATCCTTGCGTTTTTATTGGTTGCAGTACGACAGAAGCGCGGGACGAAAACGGAAAAGTTAAATAATTTTTAAAGCCTGGACTCCACATTACCGGAATCCGCGACGTAATCGTAAAACTGAAAGCCAAACTGACGAAACTTTCAGTTTTGTAACGTTCGGTTGGACAGAAACAAGACTGAAAGCAGAGTTAAAAATTATTTAACTTTTCCGTTTTCGTCCTGCGTTCTGTCGTACTGCAACCAATAAAAACGCAAGGATTTGTGACGCGTAGTCACGTGCATTAGTCACGTGTAGTTTGATTGTCGTAATGGCAGAAAGTGTAGCGAAAACGACGAGGAAATAAATAGATTTGGAATTCTTCATCGAACAAGTTAGAAAATACAGATGTCTGAACGACAAAAAATGTAAATAATTCAAAGATTATTTACATTTTTTGCAGAGAAATCGTGGCAAAATCCGTAGCGTCGTCCATGTTTGACTCTACGACAATTACAGAACTGATCAACAGATGGCGCATTTCTAGTGGTGTCGAGTTAAAACGAAAACATAACTGAAACGGAAACTCTATATGTTTCAGTTCTGTTTCTGAGTTTCTGTTTTCAGGTAATGTGGAGTACAGGCTTAACTCTGCTTTCGGTCTTGTTTCTGTCCAACCGAACATTACAAAACTGAAAGTTTCGTCAGTTTGGCTTTTAGTTTTACGATTACGTCGCGGATTCCGGTAATGTGGAGTCCAGGCTTAAGTCTCTGGAACGGAATACATGCACCAGTGAACCTACAACTATACGATTTATATTTTAAAAATAATTAAATTCACTTAGCATTCAAAACTTGCGAATTTTGAAAAAAACAAATTTGCTGATTAAATACGGACAACTGTTTAACTGAAGTAAAACGGGTTTTCCCCTTGCTATGGATGTCTGCCTAGTTTAGTTCAGCCACATTCCGCTACAGTTCGCCTTTATTATCAGTTCGAAATGGGGTGGTTCCATAATACCCGCAGTGTTCCATAATACCACCTTCTCCTATACTGTATTAAATTTGTTTTTTATGTTTTTTGTATAGNAGAACTAGGAGCAGATAGTTTAATAAACTGTCTTAGATACTCATATGCATCACTAGAATAAAAGCGAAGAGTTAAAGCAAACTTTTTATCTTCTTCTGGATATTCATTGCCTTCATTATCAAAAAGCTGATGTTTTAATAGATCACGAAGCAGTCTATTAAAGTTATTTTCTGTCATTATAGCATCGGATTTAGAAAGCAATTCTCCGAGCCTTTGAATAATGTTTTTTAAATTGACAATCTTATTTGAATTTCTTTTATTAGACTGTTTTCTTTCTGAACGTTTTATTGCACGGATTTTTTGAAGATGTGAAGGAAATGAAAAAATTATAGGAACAGAATTTGGTTGTAAATATCTTCTACCATTATTATAACTGAAGCACTTTTCTTCAAAATGAGATGAAGAAATTCTATTATTATTGTTTGGTTTCCAACGATGGCGTCGCATTAGTATAAGCCATTTCTTAAGAAGAGATTCGTCAGTGAGTGGAAACCTGACAAAGAAAAATTTTTAAATTTCACTATTACAAGAATGGAATGTGATTTACTTGTCACTGATATTAACCACTGTAAAATTTATAATTTGATATGTATAAGGCTAGAACCAAAACATTTCTAATTATTTAAATTTTTATAAATTAGACAGCATTTCGAAGTAAGTTCGACACTTTTCGTTTACTTTTATTAAATTAATCTTTAAACATTTTATTAGACATAGAAAAGTTTAGTGTGAGCAAAATTAATAATTATAAAGACCTTGCTTTAAAAGAAATGGCATTCAGGATACGTATTACCTATTATTTGAAACTGTGGTCATTTTATTAAATTAATATTTAAACATTTTATTAGACATAGAAAAGTATAGTATGAGCAAAATTAATAATTATAACTTACTTGTGAAATGAAATTCCTGAACCTTTCTTGTAACTGTTTGTACAATTGATAGCGACACAAAAATATCCATAATTATTTCTTACGGTACGCTTCGCTTTCAACCCCCCTGAAACTGTCATGGCTTCCTTCTCTTCAATCAACTTCAAAAAGTGGCGCTGTAATCACCACTACTGGCACTCTATGTTATTCTATCTCGTTGGGTCAGGCCCACAATGGATCGACCGGGTGGTAAATTTTTCGGACCACCTCCCGAAAAATTCCTGAAGATTTTTCGACCCGTCCGGATTCGATTCCGGGTCCCCCAGAGTGGTAACTGCCATCTTGACCATCGCTCGGCCATTCGGACGTGCGGTCAAGAAGCGCGTGCACCATTCATGTCTCCTGCTGAAGAAAATGTTTAGAAAAGTCTGGCGACTACGTAGAAAAATAACTTAACTTAAACTGTATGCTTTCAAATATTCAATAATTTAATTTCCAAATGAAATTTGCTGTAAAAGATTTGGAATATGCGCCGTACATACATCTTTGTTCATAGACACCCTTAAATGGCCGGATGGCCGAATATTTAAGGTAGCAGCTACCACTCCAGAGATCTCGCCATCGGATCTGGAAGAGTCGAGAAACTCCACGAATTTTTCTTCTCGGCCTATGGCTTAGATAGAATGTGTGTATCTGGTTCCCACTTATCTGTTGCGGAGACATGTCGGAGCACACCATTTGATCGCGGCCATTGGGTCGGTGATTAAAGCCTTTGATGGCTTATTTTTGTAGCTGCGGGCCCTTGTTCCTGCTCGTCGTAGTAGGTAGAGGTGGCCGACGGTGGTACTTGGCGGGATCATTGATCCCTCAAATTTTAAGGAACAATATTTCCGGGGCTATCCATCCGGAAACGTTGGGTCCCGTCCTTCACCATCCATAATGGGCTTACAAAAAAAGTGGCCCAATTAGTACACACAGGACGGAAAGAGTTAAATAAAAGAAAGCCAAACTCAAGTACAAATGATAACCGGGAAGCATTTAGCCGTACTTAACTTGTATTTTTATTCTATACTAGCTGCAAAGACCCGCTTCGCTGGGTTTTTATTTGTGGGCAAAAAGTAACGATAGTGAAGATTAAGATAATTACATTATAGCCAATCTTACCCGTTTTCACAGAATGCAAGAATTAGGTCCCCCGTTTCCAGACTAATTAGAGAATTTTTACGTCCAGTCAAACGAACTATTTTCAATTTTTTTCAATTTTCTGGAACATTTACAATAGTTCTATAACCGAACTAATTCGAATACGAATTCGAATTCGAAAATTTTTAAAATCGAAATAGAAAATCTTTCACTTTCAATCACTTTCAAGCCCATATCTTCCGCACCCTTATAGCTATCGAGACGCAACCCTCATAGTGCACGAATGGAGACTTGGGGCTACCACCACATACAAACAGCATTCATGTGCAATGTGTAGTTTTTTGCGGAAAAGTGAAATATAGGGACACACACGTCCATTTATATATATATATAGATATAGATGTATATATTATTTTCGTCTTCCCATCGAAAACGTTGTTTCAAAAAATGTACCATTAAAAATTATACTCGCTAAAAATATTTAATTAGAAATGAAATGTCGGACTAAAAAAGGATGTGCATCGGCCGGGAATCGAACCCGGGCCGCCCGCGTGGCAGGCGAGCATTCTACCACTGAACCACCGATGCTCAAATATATACGGTTTCTATTTATACTTTTATAATATCGTTGACCTATTTTCTAGTTTTTTTTTCTTCTGTAGAAAGAATAAAGCGATCGTGTCTCTTCCTCTACTACCAATTAAACATAACAAACCGATTACGAAACTTTATACAAAGTTTTCAGAATGCCGAAGAAAACTTTATAGGAATAAATTATTAATTTATAGAAAAAAATTAATAGGATTTAGTACATTCCATATTTACGGAATCCTTAGTAATACTTCGGTTACACCAAAGCAACCTATAATATATAGGTCAGTAAAATAGTATACTATNTGATCAAGTAAATAAAATCACTGAATCACTAGTTACACTCAGATTCATTCTAAATACCAAATTGATACAACTGTTTGTTTAAATATTGTAGATTACTTCTAGAAAATTATTTTGTATATATTTTCATTTAAATTATAATTTAATTTTGCAGACTTAATATAAAGTATATATCATTTTGTTCACTTATATAGGATTTAGTACATTCCATATTTACGGAATCCTTAGTAATACTTCGGTTACACCAAAGCAACCTATAATATATAGGTCAGTAAAATAGTATACTATACTGGGTTACACTATACGTTTGTGGCAGTCGGTTTATTGTTCTGAGGATCCAAAATCGAAACCGAACGAGTCGAAAAACCCCAGAGATTTTTGGGTGTGGTCTGATTTTGAATGCCGTCCTTCACCAGCCGGTCGCTTCATTGCGGGCCTGGTCGAAATTATGATGAATATAGAATAAAAGGGTTTCTTAGTGCCCATATGGAGAAAAGCCAAAAATGAAAAATGTATTACTAATAAACGTACCCAAAGTGTAATACAATTGTTTCCAACCTGCTATATTAATTAAGGCCAATTTTCATCTAAATTTAGCGGAAATCAGCGAAAGAGGAGAAATAGTTTAGGAAGAGATGTAAATTCTGCCCATATTGGTTAGTGGAGTTTCAGCCATGATTAGGAGCTAAAAGTCACACGACACACGACTGTTTTCGCGCTGCATGCGCCCTAAAGGGAAAATCTGTTTCGCTGTCTTGTCAAAAGAATATATATATATATATATTTTTTTTTTTTCGATGCAAAGCTTGAGAAACTGTAGAGAAATGTGTTTCAGTTTTTAGGGAGAACTCTTTTAATTTCAGGGGAAATTTCTGGTATATTTAGGGGTTTTCACGACAGAAGGTTGGCAACGTTGCAACGATGCAACGCGGCGGTCGAGTGCGAAAACAACTTTCAAAAAAAAAAAAAATTGATTTTTCAGTTCAGCAAAACACAGATAAGAATGTCAAAAATATTGAAGAATCATCGATATTTCGTAATAATCGATTTATATCGCCCGTCACTACGACTTATGTTCCGTTCGCGCAGAAACACGTGACACGTTGATAAAGAGAGCAGCGGGGATCGAAAGGAGGGTAAGCTCACGTAAGTCGTCAATTTCCGACTCTAGCTGATCGGCGAGAGTAGAACACGTGTTTGTCGTGTCGCGTAACTTAACGAAATATTAAATCGGTATATACGTACTGTGTAGTTCCTCCAGTTCGATATTTTACTTATTCATGGACTTATCGTTATTCTGTTTATTTAGGAGATGATAAATCTAATTGGAAGGTCAAAACGCCCATTCAATACAGTGTTTAGAAGAATATGTGTGTTTATATATACACTGTGCAGTGGCGCACCCATGGGGTAGACCAAGGGGTTGGCGCCCCACAGTAAAAGGAAAAGAAACACTAGTAAATTTTTCAAAAACATTTTTCCTAATTAAAATTCATTTATTTATATTGTGTGGTGTGTTCTATTTCTATATTACTTATGAATTAGTGGCCGCATAAGGTGGGAATTTTATTCAGGTTCCATTAAAAACTTTTTTTTTATCTGTTCAACTCTGCTCTCCTGAGATTATATCTCGAGCGTGCCACCGTATATGTGTGTTTTTACTCTCTGCCTTGTGGGTGCTAAGAGGCGTTTTTAGCCAGCCCTTTACGGGATGACTAGGGATGGATTGCCACCTGAAAAATTCCTGGGTTTTTTCGACCTGTTGGGATCTGATTCTAGGTCGCCCTGATCACGGGGCTACCACCCACCTACCAGTTGAAGTCTTGGTTAACATGAGGCAGGTCTCTGAATGAGGCTGAAAATGTGATAAATATTTCCAGCTTACATAATCTGAGACTATACAATAATGCATTAAGTTACAAAATATTGGAAATTGATAATATATATTGGTATTCAGAAGAGGCTGGAAGTTCACTAGAAGGCCTTTACTGCCACATTTGCATGGGATCCCAAAATTTGAAGTTCCACTGCTGTTCCTACTCCTATAAATTAATATTATTTCTACTAATATAGAAATAAAATCTTTTAAGTGTTCTAAAATTCCAATGGTAAAAATGGATTATTACATTCAACTATGCCAATAATGAGTGAAATCTGATTGGACTCAAAAAAATTTTTTTAATATATTAATTTCAGTTGTTTGGATACAAGTTATTGTAAATCAGAAAATATATTTTATAATTTTGAATTTTAAACTTTTATTATTGTTTTAAAATGGGTTGTTTACTTTTTACCTAGATTTCAGAATACTGTACTACTATTAATTATTAAATGCCCTTACATATTGTATGTTTCATTGCTGATGTGCCAAGAAAGCAAATAAATGATGGCATGAAACTTACACAGGTTATATGGCAAAAACATTTTGTTGACAAAAATTGCATTTGCCAATTATAAGCAGGAAATTACAGTATTTACAAGTCTGTGCCCACTGATGATCAAGTAAATAAAATCACTGAATCACTAGTTACACTCAGATTCATTCTAAATACCAAATTGATACAACTGTTTGTTTAAATATTGTAGATTATCTTCTAGAAAATTATTTTGTATATATTTTCATTTAAATTATAATTTAATTTTGCAGACTTAATATAAAGTATATATCATTTTGTTCACTTATACACTTAGGCATTATCTTGATATTTGGAGGCGAAATTCATTATGTTTATCCTCAGAGATGCTAGTAAAGATGATTGTGGAGCAATAATAACACTTATAAAGGTATCGTTTTCATTTCAGTTATTGAAAATTAAGATGAAAAATGTATGGTTTTAATTAAAAAATGTATAAATTTTAAAAAGGATTTAGCTACTTATGAAAAGATGCCAGAGGGACCAAAAATTGATGAACATGGTAAGCAATATATAAATGATAAGATCAGATTTGTTTATTAACGTATAATGCAGTTTTTGATTAAATTTAAACACATAATGTTTAGTTTTTACTTAAAATTTACAGTGGAAACACGATTATCCAAACATGACGAGGCCAGGAATGTTTCTGGAAAAATGAAATTTTGGATAATTCAGAAACTTTTTTTTTTGTTTGGGGTACATCAAGCACTGTGCATTTAAAGTTTCTTGAGCAATAAATACTTTAATGTAATTACTGTATTTGAAGGCAAATTAATTTACTTAAATGTTTTGTGTCTATAACCTAGTTTTTATTGCACTGCAGTTGTCAGATAAAATAGTTACTTCCAGTTAAATGGAGAATTTGGTTTCTGTATATTGTACTGTGCTGTGTATTGTTTCTGGTTTTTATTTCTTTTGAAAACTGTTTTGGATAATCAAGTTTCTATTATATTTAACTATTTTAATATAGTAATTCTAAGAATTTATAGTCATAAATTTGTATTATATTGCTGAAGTATGTTAAGTGATAATGATAGTCTTGAACCAATGGAAAGGAGATTTGGGATTCATGTCAAACCCCATTAATACAAAATTGAAAGGATTTAAAAATTAGCACTTTGTATTAAGCAAACATTACAAAAAAATCAATAGTCATATTATTAAATGGTAAAAAGAACACTTCATTGAGGTATAGTGATTTAAAGAAAGAATTAATGTTTGCTTGGATAGTAATAGAAATGGTTTGTTTTTAATTTTAAAATTATGAACTAAGTACAATATTTAATATTTGAGCCACTCACTTGCCAAATTGATTAACTCCACAAAACAAAAAGTATAAAAATAAAAATATATAAGAATACATTCTTCAATGTTTATTTAAATTTAAAGTTTAAAAGGAATTTTTAAAAATAATTTATATTATCAATTTTTATACTTTTTGATTGGATGTTGGTCTAGTTTTCATAACTGACAATGCATCTGCATGGCAAGCGGGAGTTGCAGGTTCAAATCCTGTTTTGGGCCAATTCTTTTCTTCTGTAGTAGAACCTTCTAAATTAAGTATTAAATGTTAATTTAATTTTATTATATTTATCAAGAGATGGCACCTAACTCCTACCTCTAGGCCAAATTACTTCACATTTAATTAANTTCAGTTTTAAAACTCAAAGAAGGAAGAGCAGTGATATTTAAAGAATATTGCAATAATCTATATCTGAGAACATAAAGAAATAAAATATTTAATGTTATATAATGAAAATACCTCATTACATTAAAACTATGCTTTAATATAATGGTATATAAAAATACATTCTACAATGTTTATTTAAATTTAAAGTTTAAAAGGAATTTTTAAAAATAATTTATATTATCAATTTTTATACTTTTTGTTTTATGGAGTTAGTCAATTTGGCAAGTGAGTGTCTCAATTAACAGTGAGATATTCAACATTTTCTGTAGTATGTT